TGCTGAAATTATTCCCTGTATGACCTCAGTAAAACAGTGTCAGAACTTGGAGGCTGTTCTTGAGCAGACCTGGGTATGCAGAACCCCTGTAGTACATCAGAATTAATCAACTTCTGCTAAATTTGTACCTCAGCATCATGTCTTTCAAACTGGGTGCCATCTACCCACTGCTTATTCCTATCAAATTGCAGTTTGATCTGATGGCATGGAGGGAAAATGGGAGCTTAGTAGGGTTTTGTTTGATAAAAGTTGATGTAGACCTGACTTTGTGTTATTAAACTAGGTGCTATTAGAACATTTGGATATTCTAATTAATTGAGTCAGTAGCCTTGATTGTTCTGGTAGTGTTCCTAGTCTTATTGAACTATATATTATTAAAGTATACCTTTTATAATAGATGGCACATTGTTCAGTCATCTGATGCTTTCCTGGAGATGTAGTGGCACCTGAAGAGAAGTCAATTTTCTTTAAGGAATTCAAAGATAATTGGAGACAAGGCAGACATATATAAAGCTTTGTAATTTAACTGAGGACTCCCTTGTTAATGGTTAAAAAATAGCCTTCTAAATACAGTTTATAAAGTCAAGGGAGATGAATCCAGACATGCTGTGAACTGTCAGGATATTAGTTGTTGTCTGGGAGCTCATATTGTTGCCTGTGTGCTCTGTGTCTCAGGACAGAGCAGTTTAGGACTAGCATAGAAGCTCTGATTCAAAAAAAAAATGGCTCATAAATTACAGTCTTGGAAATTTGGAAAATTTAAGGTCTTTTCATGTTGAGGAGTGGAGGTAAGGAAGTGACAAGTCTTTGCTGCAGTGAGGTGTAGATAGTTCCTGGTGACTCCTTATGGCAGATCAGCTTCCAGCAGCTGAAACTGGAATAATGACTCTTACCTTCCAACCCCCCCAAACCAGAAGTCTGTGAGTTGGAGCCTAGAACTGGCAGCACCAAAGGCCCTCGTGGAGAAGAGGGGCTGAAGGAGGATGAAAGTTCCTCTTCACCAAGTGAGGACTACAACAGCTCAGACTCTGAAAATGAATCCAGCTCTCCACAGAGTAGGAAGGATTTATCACCAGGTGAGTTTCCTGGATTTTTTTTTGGTAAAGGAATGTATTTTAGAATATTCTTTGTTTGAAGTACATGACAAGATAGGTGAGATGCCTACATCTTACATGATTTGAGTTGAGTGGGATTCATCTTTACATCTTGTTCGTGGTGAATTTGGGCTACACATCCTCTGTAAGAATAGTGGTGATTCCCTAGTATATTTGGTTGTATTTCTGTATTAATTTTGGAAATGGATTAGAAATTATGACTGTTGGTTTCAGAAGAGAGGCAGTGAAAAATCCCTGTGTAGTAATGCACAGTTCCTGCCATGAGATGAAAATATAACCTCATTTATGATGATTTGTAAACTTTGGATTCCTTTAACTCATGAAATTTAATAATCCTGATCTTTTATGGAGAGGGGAAAAAAATGGAGGGCAGGCTAACAGCAATGAATCTAAAAGAATAAAGTCTTGATTTTTATTTTTGACTGAGAGCCACTTTTTAAGGATGCTTTTTCATCTTCTATTCCACATGGGAAGCTTAATGAAAAAGTATCTTGTGTTGACTACTCAGAATTGTACAGTGATTCTGAACTGTGGGGATTATTGACATTAGGAGTGAGACAGAGTGTTGCTTTAGTCTTTGGCTTAGATATTTCATTCTCTTCCATGCAGGTACCATCCCCAGTGCAGCTTGCATTGAGGCTGCTCGAAGGAAACGTCACTTGGCCAGGACAAGAGCTGATTATCTTCCACTGGATGTTTCAAATGGTCATCAGGCCTCTCAGAGGAGGGAGGGCAGTGACTCAGAGAGTGAAGATGAGTCTGATAGGAAGAATCTCAATTTTGCTCCTGAATTGAGAACTCTTAGGCAGAGGGTGGCTGAACACATGGGTGAGTTTGTGCCACTTCTCCTGCTGGTTGTGGCTTTGTTGTGGGAGAGTGTGGGACTTGTCCAGTAAAGGGTGAGTGCAGTGTGAGGCTTTGCTCCTCCATGATCTTGGCAAAGGGCTGTACAGCTGGTACTTGGGGTTTACATGGGATGCTAACCTGGTTTAGGTCTCACCAATGTGGTGGTGCAAGGAGCTTTGAGAAACATGTAAAACTTTTCCTTGTTGAATGAAAGAAAACCCTGTGTTATAGGAGCTGTAGCACTTAATGGGAATAGTGTTGCTGTAAATCCTGCCTCCTGTTCTGGTCAGGTGTTATGTGTGCTCTCCCTGTCCTGACATTCTGACTGTCCTTGAAAAAGGGAAAACCCAACAACCCAGCCCTTCAGAAGTAAACTAACCTATTGCACTCAAAGCATATCTGGCTTTTCCATTGTTTTTAACCTCTTGGAGCTGCTTATAGTTTTGTTTAGGAAGCACTGGTTTACTCTATCATTTGAATAAGGGTTATAAGGAATGGATAACTACAAGCTGATTCTGCAGTTCTGATGCTAATGAGATATTTTTGTAGAGTGTATGTTTTGGAACACTCAAGGATTTGTTGTGTATCATGTCAGTCACTGTTAGGGCCTGTACTTACACCCTTACACTACACAGAGCTTCAGTTTGAGACACAAAGTGAGGTGTTTGTGCTCTCATACTGCAGTGGGAGTTGTCTGAGAAACAGTATGGTGGGGAAATTAATATTGATGTGAATTCTACAAGTCCCACTAGCCTTATCAAAGCCTTCCTTGCCTTTCAGTTTGGAGGTCCTCCATCTGCAGGTTTTTCATCTGCTGATTTTTTGTGTGTATCACTTCCCAATTGTGGTTGGGAGAACTATTGTTGCTTTAGAGGGAGGAGAACATGGGAGGGGAAAAAATGAAGGCTGTAATCACATCTAACACTGATTGTTTTAACTTCCAGTGTCTGTGTGTGTTGGATCGAGTGAAGATGAAGCAGAAATGAAGTGGGAAGAAGAGCAAATAAGGAAAGCTGTTAAACTCTCTCAGGTGACACTTTCCTGACCACTGGAAGTTGCTTTTTGGTCCTAGGCAAGAGGACATGTCTGGAGTACAGATAATAGTAGTATCTCCTTCCCACCCTCTCATTGGAGAGGTTTTCACAAAGCTGTAGCTAATTCTTCAGGGAAAAGATAGAGAGATATGGGGAGGATGGTAATGAATAACTTGTGATGTCTCTCTTGCTGTTCAGAAGCAGGGTTTTGTTGCCTGTCTCAAAGGCAGGGAGGTACCTGTGTGTGATGGAAGGCTGAAAAGCAGAGAACAAAATTGTGAGCCCTGACTTGCTGTGTTGCTGTGCAGAGGAGCTTGAAAGCAAGAGTATGCAAATAATACAAATGTTAAAAAGTCAAGCAAAAATTATTCTAAACTTCTATTGGGTGGCAATCTGAGAGCTCTTCAAAGTACAGAGTTCTGTCTTTTTTTTTTGTTGTCTGGTAAATAATGGGCAAAAGTA